GGGCCTCCTCCCAGTGGGACATGCCCGGAACACCTCACCAGGGAGGCGTCCAGGAGGCATCCTAAGCAGATGCCCAAGCCACCTCATCTGGCTCCTCTCGATGCGGAGGAGCAGCGGCTCTACTCTGAGTCCCTCCCGAATGACTGAGCTCCTCACCTTATCCCTAAGGGAGAGCCCAGCCACCCTGCGGAAGAAACTCACGACCCACAGCTCATGACCATAGGTCACAAAACACTTACAACAGCCCATTATACTGATACACTCAAAATCAACCCATGAACTCCGGGATACTGCAATGACAGATTCTGTGGAAGACTTCCTTTGTTGGTGTCCTACAGTCACCCCTCAAAAGCAAAATGACCTCTAAATATCATCCAATGGGCAAAACACTCAGCTTAGTCCAGACTAAAACTCCACCTCTTACAGAAGACCAGACGCTACATCAACAAACATGCTATTAAACACCATTAGCATCGGTGCCATCTTCCTACATCTGTGCAGATCTTCATGCATGTCCCAAGGAAGCATCAATGATGCTTATTAGACTGGTGCCACCTTGAAATTAGAAGCCACAGCGTGCTGGTATCTCCGAGCCACTGCACTTATGTCACCTCAGCGGTGGAAAGTTCAGGTCCAGAAAGTACAAATCCAGACCAAGTACTCTGACTGATTCTTTATATCCAACTGGTTGATTGAAACAAAACCTTGGTCTGGATTTGTACCTTCTGGACCTGAACTTTCCACTTCTGTGCCACCTCACAATGCCAGCTGAAATGAACCCGGCAGCCTAATGACCACAGGACTGACAGCAATACCGCACTGTCTCTATAGCGGTGCACCGATGTAGAAATTTTGGCAGATACTCATAACCGATACATTTTTGTCTAATATCGCCGATTCTGACCAGCTGACCTTGAGGGTAGGGTTGGGGAGTGGGGGGGCACTGCAGATTATAGATGACATGAGATGTTTTACTTTGTGAAAAACAAATAAATCTGTGGACAAGATTTAATAATGAATTCTGAATATGCAGTGGGCCAGATAAACTGGACTTGCATGCCAGTGCTTTGACAGCTCTAAGCGGCGAATGAGCCCAGCACATCCCCTGTCCTCCAGCACGGAAAATGGCTGAACGTCCAATGCAATCATCTCCACTATTTTAGCAGCTGTGTCTTTAGCTCTGGTGCTGCTACCTTTGAAGAGTGATTAAGTTTAAATATTAGCCGGCAATATTGACAAGACTGACACATTGGACCAAAGCTGATATCTTGATTTTGAACAAACATTGGGCAACACCGATTTGTTAACTGGTATATTGTGGATCTCTGTGTTTTATCCAATAGCTTAATGCAATTGCCTTTGTTTTCAAAAGGCTTGGTACAGAAGCACTATTGGAAGATGAAAGGACCGACTTAGATATTTTGCCAGTAAACAAATAGATTTTAAGTATTCACATAATAGTGATACACTAAACAATGTGTCAGACAGATAAAGCTGATTTACAGCATGGGAGTCGTTGGCCCCGAGTATTTTAGCCCCAATGCTAATCTTCCTACAAAAACAAAACTGTCAAGCCCCAGGCAAACCTCATTTAGCTCCTGATCTTTTCCTTTTCAATAGCTAGGAACTCCCCTGATTTACAGAAAATAATAAAATGACATAAATAACATTTGTTTCCATCAGTCCTGTTGCTGTTACATTTAAACACTCGCTGAACATGAGAAAGACACAGACTGAGTATCTGTATAATAATCCAAAGAAACACTGACTGACTTAGTATAATTGCACAACTGCAGTGATTTCAGGTACAGCCCAGAGGCTGAAATGCTGATATGTGTATCCATGGCACCTGAAACTCCTGGCCAGGTTTTAGCTACAGCACAGCCCATCCCACTTACATGGGTCACTCCAGAGTACAAACTTATAAGATTCAGGTTTTTCAGGATGAACATTTTAGGTGAAGCCGCTGAGATGAACAGGTCACCCAAAGGCAAACGAAACTGAGGTGTAATATCGCTTCTTTCAAATTAATTTATAATTCATTTGTCATCTTAGCTCTTCTAAACTCCGTTTGTTCCCTGCCGTGTCTGACTGCCCACCCAACCCCAAACCCTTCGGCGATGGCAGTATGTGCGGCACTTATTTTTGTCCGAAGCAGAGTCACATGCAATCAGAGAGGAATGTTAGTGCTGGGTGAAGGAGTGGCAGATGTGAAGATTGCTGATTGTGAGTTAGAGACATCGGCAGAAAGCCTATTGGAAGAGAGAACATCAATAGAATCTTTGTGCTGACTGGCTGAGTGGTAAACATGTTGTTGGCACTGATTGGAGGAAAGACACCAAGGCTGAAAGTTGATTGGCAAAGCAGAACAAAGGCTGAAAAGACACTAACACCACCTATCCAATGAGAAACATGGCCCACTGTCCAAATCAGGTTCACCACTAAGTTATAATCAGTATCATCAGTGTACAGGCCCAGACTGTCTTCTCTTAATTTTTTGTGAATTTCTGGGGAATGGTATTAGCCTGGGCTTCCAAAGAAGGAGGTTTGAAGAATTATGATGTTTCTATAACCAAAACCTGCAATCTGTGATACCATGGTGTGTGGAATAGAGTTTTGGTTTCCTAAAGTCCAAAGGTGAGTACTTACACAGATCTTAAAGCTGTGGGTAGAATGATCGAGGAACTGAACATCACAGGTCACGTCAGCCTTGGTCCTGTCTTTGGACAGCTCAGTCACGGCCAAAGTACCGATCCGTCCACCAAACCCGTGAAACCTGGAGTTCATCACGACGGAGGATTAACCTGTGGAAGGGAACTGAGATCAAGAAGGTTCCAAGTGGCCCGGTCTGTCGTCAGGCTTTTTCTGTGTTTGTTCCCCAAGGTTTCCACTACATAGATCTGAAGCCTCAGCAATCAATGAGACCCGTTCAAGAAGTCTTCATGAAGAGTGCAGCCCCCCTTCTATCAGCGAATCCCATTATAGTCATAAATCCACCTCTCAAAAGGCAAAATGACGTAACACATGAGGACAAACATCTTGGTATCTAGGCCATAAGTAAACACACCTCTACAAAATAATTATACCCCCAGTTTTACCGACTACACAAGAGAGCTTAGCAAACTCTAATGGAAATCAGGATACACTAAAGGCCAATTCAAACTTCCGATTTCCGCATGAGCTTTCGGATGCGGGCGAGGGGACGTGACATCATCAGGGATTGGCTGCGGACGGCGGCGGTTGGTGTATGCAACCCAGATTTTTATGTGTAGAGGAAACTGCACATGTCTGTGCATGTATACAATAATTGAATAGGTATTTCCAGTTGGTGGCTGTGCCGATTTTCACAGATCAGTGGTCAACGACGAAACAGAAGAGGAACAATCGTTGTTGTTATAGTAGTTATGGTAAGGAGCGGCAAGAGGAGGGTTGAAGTTACTACGTCGTCTAATTTTTCATACTCTCCAGACATTAAACCGAGGTATACAATATTTTGAAAAGCAGCATCATATCGGCATTTTGAAACCTTTGTGATGACATTCACCGAGCTGAGGGAGGAGGAATGGGTCCCAGCTAATTTTGTCGTAATGATTTCAAAATACCGCGGTATGCCTTATTACCGTAATACCGCCCAAGCCTGGACTAATAACTTTTAAAACTGTTGATGAAAGTTTACCCCTTTCGCTTATATTTCTGTTTGTTGCAATACATCTACCCTCTCCTGGTCTGAAGGAACATCACTGCCGTAAGCAGCACAGACCTCGACCGTCTGCATCCGCAGCCAAATGTAGTATGAATAAGCTACCGCGTGCACCATGGTCTGCAGCCTGAGAACGCACGTGGGAAAGTGAGGCACGAATTGAGGCAGAAAATCACCAAAACATTAAGTATACAACAATAAACAAACCTTGACCGGTGATAACAGGCCTGTCGACTGCTATACCATTCCCATGCAGACTCTTAGAAATCACTGTGAAAACCAGCTGCATAAACAAACTGGACAGCCCTGAATACCCAAGAAAGATATTTCACGATTTGTATCTGGTAACACACCTATATTTCTCTAAGTCTGCCTGGGCAACTGCTGACAGCAGATAATAAACATGTAACGAGAAACCCAGTCAAGCACAGGCAAAGTGTTCAAAAATGAATGCGTTACTTCAAGTGTAATTTACCTGTGTTTACCGAGCAGTGCATACCTTTACCACAGTCTCATTTCTGTACAGTGAGTCGTGTGTTTCTTTGAATGAAACCAGAAACACAGCTTTACCATTGTACACTTGTTTTTTTCTGGAGAACATCAGTATCAATTTTAGCAATAAAGGCACAGTGATACAGCATCCAGGCTCCTGATTGGCCCAGTTTCACCACAGGTGCTGAATTCGCCCTGAAGTGGCTCCTGTCCTCCTCCAGTAAGCGGCCACATGACCAGGAAGTACAACACACAGCCTATTGTTTAATCCTCACACACACACAGCGCAAACACGTTACCCTGCTGCTGGGAGACCAAGGGAAGACATCCAATAATGTGTTTCTGCACCGATTGTGACCAGATGAAAATTTTATTCCCTCTAAATTTCGTCTGGTTAAAATATCCCTCCGTTCAGCTGACTTGTCTCATTAATTTCGCCGACCGCATCCAAACAAGTCTCCGAATTCAATGACTTATCGGTGGCATGATCAATAATGCATCCATGTGAAATTCGATGAATAACAATGGAGGTTTTCCATTGGGGCGGTCCCGATGCCAGCTCCGCCACGTGGCGAGTCCCCTGGGAGACGGCCCCGAGGGTTTACTCGAGTGAAAACGTGCAGAGTCACACTCGATAGCTGCCTCAGCCACGTAAACACCTCAAGTCACCTGTTACTTCTCTCCCACCAGGTACGCACGCTCTATTCACAAGCAAATTCTTACATGTCCAAATTTCCAGGAACGTTCATCTTCAAGACGTCATCCAAACATCTAGACATACACTCCCAAAACAATGTTGCATTAAATCTGTATTTTCAACCTAAACATTACAGCAGCATCAGAAAAATAAAGCAGTCCATGTTTGGTAGTACATATACAGTATACATAGTTTGCACATACATACATCCTAGATATATGTAGGGCTTGTTTACCATTATGTGACAGCCTTCTCTATGTGCCAGCTCTCTGTACCTGATATACATGAGCATATCTTGTTACACAACCTTTAGTATACAGTTTAAAAAGAAGTCCCTTCTCCCCTGGCTTGATTACATTACCTTTCTACCCTTACAGACAAACAAACAAACTCCCTCAACATATCCATAATGAAAGCCGCTGTCTCTTAGGGCACTTACTAATAAAGTGCCCATACACCGGTCAGACGGTGCCCAGAAGAGTTAAAAAGGGCACCGACAGGGCAGCAGAATCACAAGCAGCACATTGTTCATCCCACGGGGGTCTCAGCTCAGCCTTTCTGCTTGCTCTCTCTATCTAGTGCCATACATGCAAATTTAGGCTGATTTAAGGGATCTGTTGGTTTCTTCAGCCACTTCCCATCCTCATGTCCTGGGTTTTCTGGGATAAACTCTGGGTTTCCTGGAATAGGGGCAGTTCAACGCATAGGGTATCTTAGGCTACAGCCTAGGGCTCCGATATGATCAGGGGCCCCACCCGGTGAAATCAGGGGCCCCTCCCTGCCTCGGAAAAAAACAATTTGGTTAAACTTCATAGTCAGTGCAAAATGTCACCCCCACAGTCAGCAAATTTTACCACCTGATTAGCAGACTATCAATGATGGATTCAGTTTGTCTCATCATATTACTTTATCAGCTCCATCAAATGGCTTAAGTGGCCTTAGCCATAATAAGAGAAGTTATTCTGCCCTGTATCTGGGATACGGTCCGGGCTACCAGGGATAGGGTCCGGACTTCCTGGGATAGGCTCAGAGTTTTCTGGGATACTCTTCCAGCATCCTGAGATAAAATTATAGCTTCCTGGAATACTCTTCCAACTTCCTGGGATACTCTTCTGACTTTCTGGAATTGACTCTGAGCTTCCTAGGATACTCTTCTGACTTCCTGGGATAGGACCCAAGCTTCCTGGGATGCTTCCTGGGACATTGTCCAAGCTTCCCGGGATACTCTTCCAACTTCCTGTGATATATGTATTCAAATAGGCTTTGGACTTCCTAGGATACGCCTCTGACTTCTTGGCATATCCTCCAAGCTTCCTGCAGGCTATTGCTGCAGACTCGATTTCTGCCCTGGCATTTTCATGTTCTCCTTGTGTTCCTCTAGTTACTCTGGTTTTCTATTAATGCCTGCTATTAAATACATAAATCCATATTCTAAGAACCAGAACTGCTGATGTCCCAAAGGACTGCATAGCCACTCTGTACTGTGTCATGTGCTCTGATCCTCTTCCAAATGCCGTGTTAGCACAGGACACCCCACGACTTCCCGTACTGCACACTTCCAGTTGTTCAGTGACATCAACATGCTAGCTATAGAAAACTGAGATGCCTCAGCCCCCACCAGCTATAATTCTCTCCACCCCCACCTGCCCATGACAGGGCTGGACACGAGCAGGATGCTGCTCAGCAAAGGTAGAACAGAAAAGCTGCCAAACTGAAAAACACCAACAAAGTTCAAGAGCTGTGACGTGATTACGGGAACGGTTTCACAGGAGCAAAGATCTGCACCTTCGTGTGCAACCAAGGCACAATTATAAACGCTAACAAGCAAATTAAATCCATTTCTGTTACAGCAGAAGTCTTGAAACTTGTGACAGTCTTGAGACATACTGTGATAAAAACTAATCCTTAACCCCCTGGCTGAAAAAGTTAAAAAAACAAGCAACATTAGGGATTCCCCTAAGATCTGGAATTCTGCGTCATGTTTCTACCACCCGTGTTTAATTCAAATAAACCCTTTTTATAAATTCATTTCCAAACTCGATTTCTAGGGTCCCAAAGGACCTTAAGAACCTTTATTTCCATTGTTAGCAAGTTTGGTGGCTTACATTATAGCAAGTAATCAGCACCCGGCGCAAAGCATGCATCTGTTGATTAGAACCTAGATTTAAAACATGACACGCCAGCCTCATGTCGGTCCTCTATGTTCCAAATTTGCAGGATATAAAATAATCCAGAAGACAAGCTGTGCAGCGCTTCCATCGATGTGCATTTCAGTGATATTGTTGTGACATTAGTACTACCAGCTGTTATGCTCAGTGCCAGATGCACAAAAATATGGTTTTAAACACTCATTTTTTGGCAGAACCGATAAAATCTATTTGTCAGATATAAGAAATAAGCGTCCAGACTGTAATCAGACGAATATAGAGCCGCTACACACACGGCAGCAGCATCGGCGGACGCATGGTCTGCATGCACCAGAAGTGTCACTCTTATAACTAAGAGTGTCTTAATTACTAATTCTGGGTGGTATTTTTTAAAGATATTTATCAGCATCTGTGGTGAACACCATCGTAATTATTTCAAAGCCTGACATATTCAGTGTGCTGCCTTTGGACCCTGAAGAGCCAGGAACCATAAGGCCACTACAGATCTAAGATCTCCAGTCGCATTTAAGGACCTTTAAGTTCCATTGTCATGGAAAGAGGCACCTGCACTTGTGATGGTAAGGCAGAGGGAGAGATTCTGTGGTTTCAGTGAGGTACTTCAGCAATACCCTGCTGCTCAGTAATATTCACCCCTGACAGTTAATCGACCTCTATAATAAAAAGAAACAAGAATATACTATTATTGCGTTATTATGAAGCACAACGGAAGTAACAAATCAATAAAGCAGAAAGAATCCACAGTATTTA